AATATGTGTTTTTGATCATTTGAATACCATGTCATTTTTTTTTAATACAACTGTTATTGAATGTGATTTAAGATGAGATTGAATTAAGCAAAGGATGAATTCGAAACTTCTATGATCAGAATATACCAGAGAACAAAACATTGAATTTAACAGTATTGTATTCAACTGAAATTGCCTCGTGGTATCATACTACGAATAACTCGACCGTTATCGCAATATTTCATTTCATTGCAATTCAATATATCCTTTTTTCTCAATCACATATGGTATCATGGATAGCATTTTTTATATATACTGTTTACTGTTTAAGTTGTTCAGGGAGGGGCTGGATTAGCCATAATGGACTATAACTCATTTTAAATTCACATCCCACTAGCATGATGGATATTACATTAAATATTCACAATGTACTGACACTACACTGCGATTCACTTGAAGATGAATGTCTGTGATGGTTCCGAGAATATTAAAAAGCTTTTTAAATAATTTACCTAAAATGTCTACAGCAAAAATCATAATGGACTGCCGATGATGCGGGCGCTCATTTTGCTAATTCGAAAAACAATGATTGATGTGTGCAGTTTTCAACGATGACATGAGACTATTTGTCATCCTGATTTTGGTTCCCAATACAATTTGCATTGTTCAGTCTGAGGATAATAAAGTTACTAACCCAAGGACATAATATCGCCAACACGAACAAAATCGTTAAAAAACCGGCTTGACATTATGAATGATCTTTTCGTGATTTTTGTACATAGAGCATTATGATTATTATGCCTTCGCGTAACTGTATTTTTATTATCAATCCATATTTTAAATGTTCATTAGTAATTTTTTCTTTAGACCATGACCTATTTTAACTGTCAGCGTGACGTCTAGACATAGATCTGCTACCCGGTTGTCTACTCAAAATTTCTTATTAATTTTACACAGTTGTTTCCTCAAGGAGAACAATTTATGAGAATAAGGTATGCAAAATTTAATTTCCATTCCATTGGTGTTATTTGACAGAGCTATACCAATATGCGTATATCTATACGGAGTAACATTTTTATTCTTTCAATTAGATTTTTTTTTTCAAAGAAAGATATTTTTATAGCGCACATAGCCACCATGCAAGGTGCCCAAGGTGCTCCAAATAATGTAATTCATGATTAATAATACACTTAATTCCATTCTAGATTCTTAATGGTATTTGTTAAAGCTTAACCCATTATCTTTACCCAGGTGCGATCCTACACATAACAATCATTGCTTCCAAGTAGGTTCGTATTCATTTCCTGTTAATAAATAGAGCGACTATACTACTACTACTAGATGTGCATCTCTCCATTTCGCCTTTAAAAAAGGTCGTTCTGATGCGAGTTCACCCTTCATGTCTAATCTATAGGTTGGACAATCGCTATGGTTATATTTCATGAGCGATCGAATTCACCTGCAAGTTTCGCGATGACATTTCTTAAGCGAAATGTTTTTTTGTTCACTTTGGAACACCATTATGATCTCATGTTCAAGGCCGGAAGAGAAAGGAGATAGCGAGAAAGAGAAGGGGGGTATTTGGCAATTTGATTCGAGACACAATCTCTCTCGTCTTTCCCCTCTCTTTCTCTCTCTTCATCCTCTCTCTCTCTCTCTCTCTCACTGTTCTCTCTCTCTCCCTCTCTCTCTCTCTCTCTCTTATTTTTTTTTCTCTCTCTCTATTCTCTCCTCTCTCCGCACTGTTATAGTACTATTTCATTTCATAATTAACATTTGCGGGGATATCACTGAAACACCATAATGCTAAACAAATTATATATTTCTTTAATGCAAAGGCTACAAATCTGTCGTGATTGTCTGTGAAGAAGCATCGTTTCCGGTGGATGCAGAATAATTAGGGGTGGCTTATCCTTTTTTCTTTTAATGTGGCTACTGTGTGCATGGTGATGCAACGTGGAACATTTTTACCATTTCATCTTTCACATAACAGCAGACAGGCTCTTGAAGGGTACATGTTTTTCTTTCCTGCTCTAGCCTTCCTTGAAAGGGAAAGGCTTATATATTCAACATTGTGAGAATGTAAAGAACATTCATTCACGTTCGCAAGGCTCCCCGAAGCAATTATCCCTCTTATTATTCTTAATGGTATACTATGTGTGTCTAGAATTACTAAATTACGAAATCCTTTTCTCTCTCTCTCTCTCTCTCTCTCTCTCTACATACAGTAGGATTTTCCTCATAATGTGACGACATTACTGTCCTCCATTTAAGAATGTTTACAATATATCCATTTACCTTTGTTTGGAAATCGCATCTTTCCCCGATGGCGAATCTCAAATTACAGAGGAATGTCGAAAAACACGGAAACGGAAGTGTCTGAGATTTGGAAAGATTATTACTGCTTGTAGTTTAGATTGAAGTGTCGCCAGGGAGTATTCGAGATGGCGAAGAAGAGGAGAGAATGAGACAGAGAGGAGGGTACCGAAGTGCTCCGTGCAAGAGGAGGATGCACATGATGTACGTAATGTTGGAAGTATTGATTTTTGGAGCCAGGAAATCAATTACGAACGGGTTCACCGTTCTTCCATCTCACGTATACGAACGCTACAGTGTAACTCGAGTCTTTATAATGTGACCTTATTATATGTAACGAGATGCTTATGACTTTGTGTTTAACGTTAGTTACACTTTTATGTTTATGTCTATGTCAATATTTGCGTAACTGAGCTGACTATTACTTCATGGCTGTACACACAACTAATTACATTGACGTAACAAAAGTCATTTTATTAATCCATTAAAACGTCCCACTCAATATTAATCTCTCTAATGAATTAGATATTATACGAATAATATGTATTAGTAAAATGAAATACGGCGTCGTCAATTTCCTATTTTGGATTTATAATTAGAGATTCACATGAGATCTAGCGCATAAATCATTTAGCATTGACAATAGTTATATATAATGCAAGCAGTAGCTAATTTGTGTTTTTTATACATGTATAAAGCTATTAGCTTCCTGAGGTTTCAATTAACACTTTTAATCCAATCCATTGATTATGTAAATGATACATTCACCCCAATAGTAAGGGAGAAGAAGCCCCCCCCCCCCCTCTCCCCCTCCCCGTCATAAAAAAGGAAGGAAGTTTTATGATGTCTGGATTAATTTGGCCATAAGTATGAAAGATTAATCACATCAAGAGTAAATCAAAGTAAGCATTCAAGAACGTATAGAAGCTAATTTTGAAAAAGTATTCCCATAATCTGGTTGTTTGTGATTTGTAAGTGAAATGAAGCATGAGGATTATGCCTTCTATCCGTTCACTCAGTCGCAGTATGAAATTCATCTCTTCCAGAGAGGCTGTATGTTTGCTGATGTGATAAGGCCTCTTTTAGTGCAGCGAATTTCTCTTTCCAAACAGCGCGCACAATCTGACTTTCCTCAACTGACAGGTCAATAAGAGCCTAATCAATTGATACATTAGCTCTTTTTGTGTTTTTTTTTATTCCGTGCTTACGTCACGATACAAAGTAAGTCAACAGAAATCCATTAAATTAGTATTGTCCTCTGACATCTTGTCAAATAACAGTCATGATGTGTTTTTCCCATCTATTGAAGAAAAACGGATATCAGTGTGTTTCCATTTCTTTATATGGGAGACATCATAATATATTATCATCTGAGTCTTTATTAATCTGTCAGCTGGTTAGTCTAGAATAACCTCGACTTTATATTCTCTAAAAATCTGTATTATCAAGCTTGTAATAAAAAGAAGAAGAACAAATTCTCATTACATTATTAATAATATTGTGTTAATTATTTATATATATATATATATATATATATATATATATATATATATATATATTGCACTAATACGTAATGTTTGTCGTAATTGTCTCATTAAATGGCAACCCGTCACAAAGCTCTTGCTTTTAGAGAGTCTCGCCTCATTCTTTTATATTTTAGTTGATATTTAAAAACTACTCTTTTATGACACAAGAAGTAAGTAAATGTATTCATTTTTTGTGCATACATGTACCCCCCTCCCCCGGAAAGTCTGTATACAGGCTATCCAATTTAATGTAGTTTAAATTGAAGACTGTATTATATCTAAGGTTGATTTGGTTTGTTTTGTTGATTACGCAAAAGTCAGAAACGTTTGGAAATTTAAACTATTAATGTTATCATACATACAAAACGAAATTGAATCACGATTAGGTGATTTGAGGTTGGTAGTCGTTACAAATTTTGTAAAATTCCAAAATTCGTCTTGATAGACAAGAGCGTGCAAATTCTATATTGACGTATTGGTTGTTTCATAAACAATCAAATAATCAAGAATAAACTTAAAAAGTGCAATCTTGGTTTGCTTTTGATAATGATAATATTGGATAATTTTATAGCGCACATAATTATCCACCATGTAGGGTGCTCAAGCCGATAACAATATTAGTTTTATAGAAGAAAAAACGAAGACATTAAATGAGATTCATTTTAATTATTCATTCAACTTATCTTTTCATCTTTCTATATATTTTTTTTTTTAATTTTCTTTTTGTCACACTTTATTCGAAAATTTACTACCATGAGTATGATTAAATGCATTATGACAACATCTGGGACAGAAGGTCAGTCTCACCTCGGGTCTTCTGACAGTTTTTGACGGTTCGTGAGACCGACAGCCAAAAAGACATACATTGTTTATTTTATGGACCTTTTAGCCACTTTGTGAGGGCACACAAAAAAAACAAAAAACGAGGCGGACATTGTTCTCATTAGCCTTCTAGCCACTCTTTAGAGTCAATGAGACTGACAGCCCACGGGAAAATTGTTTTGGGGCTCATGTACCTTTCAGCCACATTTAAGAGTGTCCACGAGACCGCCAACCTTCAAGACTAACAATGTCTATACACGATTCAACAAATGTTACAAACAGAAGAGGTTGTCTTCATAAAATATTTTTGACACTAATCTGTATGGCTTTCTTCCGTCTTTTTTTTTCTTTGCTCAGGTTATTTAAAGAGGACCCCAGTATACAAGACCTCTTCCCATCGTTTAAAGGACAGACCGAACATCAGCTTCGGAACGACATGGGCTTCGAGAACCAGGCTGTGATGATCCTCAACATCTTTGACGAGGTGGTCGAGCAGCTCAATAACCTTGATGCTGCAATATCTTTATTGACGAAGACGGGCAAGAAACACTCAATGATAGACCCAGATATGATGATGGTGAGATATTCCTTAACTTGATTAGGTTTTTTTTTTTCTTCTTCTTTCGGGATGGGGGGGGGGTGTTTGGGTTTTTTGTTTTCCAGAGTCTAAACCGGAAATCGACAATGCAAACAAATATATTTATCGACAGTTTTTTCCCCTTAAATCAAGTTAACAAAATGGTTTCCTAAAGTGAGAAGAAGATATCTTGGAACCAGAAACTTTTTGAGACTGAAACATTTACTGTTACCCTTGCAGCGACTACACAATTTGTGTTTATATCATATATAGATCGCACAGACTGATGAGATACATCTTCCCTAACTAATCTACAAGATATCCTGCACTTTTCTACACACTCTGATAAATTCTTGCTTCTATAGGCATGTGTTATCATACAACATAGTAAGATGGTTTAGTGAGCACCACTTTTCTTGATGTTGTCAAATCAAGGGGAGCAGCTGTCGAATCTCTATATTGATCTAGATAGTTTGCAAACATTTAACAAGACGGTTGTTACCATCACAATATTATCATGAAAACTCCCACTATATTTTCTGTGAAAACAAGCTTCTCTGAAACCTTCCTCAGAGTCGTTCTTCAATCTTCATAATACGACAACTCTGTTGTCATACTATATTAAAGTAAGATGTTACTCATTAATGTTAACAGATGAGAGTGAATTCTTCAACCCTCGGTTTAGATCCTTTGTCTTTCAGTTGGGTGGAGCGTAGAAAGCGAAGGATGTCGAAAGTGAGGGTGTGTGTGTGTGTGTGTATTTGGTTTTTACAGACGTGTATCAATCAGATATGATTATTTACGTCTGGGGACCGACCTTTAACGTCACCATCCGAAAGACGTGACTCAGTTTCGAACCTGCGTCCTCGGCTGAATCAGTTTGTAACTTCCACTGTAAGCTGGATTACAGGCGCACGCCACAACGCCTAGTTAAAATCTACCTGGTCTTCCTGGAGAATGTCATCCGTGATGCAGTCACCTACTGCGAGCACGCCAAGCGAAAGTGAGGGATCGTTATGCCAAGTGTATAAGTTACCTTCAACATATTTCTTCAACTATAAATTTATATATCTATATATTTTATGTATTTATTTTTTTGAAGTCGAGGATCACAAAATAATGGTACCAATATTAAACTTTTTTGAAAGAGATCAAACTGTAATAATAATATGATTGCAGGGCCCTCAGGGAGAACAATATGAATACTGATGAGGCTACCCTGGGTAAACAAGACATATTATTATTATTATTATTATTATTATTATTATACCATCCAAGCATTTTATCAGTTCCCGCAAAACGTCCAAGCTAGCAACAACATTATTAAGTTTATTTCTTTGGGCTATGGGCATAAATTATGTTACCTTTTTCGTTCATGCATGCCCTCGCTTTAATTCCATGTAGTCTTCTATTTAATCATTGCTGCCCCTAACGCGTTTTTCTACTACAATGATTGAATTATGGAATTCCCATGGTAGGCAAATTAGCTGGCATCGGGGTATCTTTCATAGGAAAATTGGATTAGGAGGCGGGAAGCAAAAGAGGGCAAGTCGTCCTTTCATCCTAACTCATTGTTATTCCTTCAACATGGTCGAGAATGTATGGCAACTCTGCAAGGTTATATCATCTTAAAAAGAGATGGTATCACCACCATAGGAATGACAATCATTATGACTTGAACCATGATTCAGACATTTTTCAATTTTTAGAAATTTGCACAAATTATGAGAAAAATTTAGTAAAACTCCCAAATCTCCAACGGAACAACGTAAAAAACATACAGAAAGCATTTTATAAGCAAAATAATCTAGAGACGATTATACAAATCCTTAACCTAAAATACAATGTAAAAGGAGCATTACTATGTTACAATGTATACATTACTTAGCATCTGGTTGTCTACATGGAGCATGGTGCATGACGTCACACGATAAAATTGACTTCGAGGAAATCAAGAGGCTCTGTTATAGGGTTGAAGAGATGTAGAACCTCCCTCCAGTTAATTATTTGTCAGGAAATCCAAATTTGCCGACAGCAATTGTATATCTATTGTCTATCCGGTAAGCCCAATCTTACAACTCCACCGACCCCCCCCCCCCCCCCCCCCCCCCCCCCTCACTTTAAATGTCTCATTAAATGATAGATTGTATTGCTCATGATATGCTTCTAAATGCAGACAGTAATTGGCAACAAGGTTGATACCCAACAAAGAGTCACATTACCAGTCGCTCCATTATGACTGGGGTAGATAAGAATTCGGCAAAATGACCGCTGTATTAATTGACCGACATTAAAGAATTATTACAAAATCAATCTAGCGCAATCTCAGTAGTCTGTTGAAGGATATGAACATTACATTGATGTATTACATAATCCGAAATGATTTCTATGGTATATACAATGGGTAATTTTGCCCCTTGATTAGATCTGTCGCGAGTCTTGACAATCCCGTTTATATATGACATTACAGGTGTTATAATAATATTCACTGTTGTCGAAGGAGACGCGAGAGACACGTCATTGTTTGTTTTGTGAAACAGGAAGATACTGTCAATATTAAACCCCTGCCCGTCTCCTTTTCTCCTTCCATGTACCAGGTAGATCCCTCCCATCTCCCTGCATGTACCTCCCAATCTAGGCAGAAAAACACGTGGGTCTCAGGTGTTAGAAAGGAGGTCGAGTGAACTTTCATCGGATTATTATATAGCAAGCCTTAATATTGTGGCGCGAAGATCAGGACACAGATGTCCGTGATCAGGCATATTTCCCCTACAAAACATGATATCTTTTTTTTGGCTTCTCCTCCGTCGATTTGTCTTCCTCTCCGCCCTTTTGATCTATTTTAATTTCTCTTTCTGTCTCTGTCTCTCTCTCTGCCTCTCTCTCTCTCTCTACCCCATTCCCCCCAACAACATAATCATGTATAATAAATGTACTTCTAGTGTACTTAAACATGAGTAAGAAAAAAGAAAAAGAAATACGGGACACAAGTGACGTGTTTGTTTATTCTGTATCTCTCTCTATGATTATCACATGACTTCTCTCCGAGATACCGACGGTGAAAACAAACCAATTATTATAATGATGAGAACAAAAGCCAGTTCTTGCCTAGCAACCCGTAGATAACTCAAACGTCGTTAGAGCACCTAGGGACCAATCATATTGTCAAGGTCATGCCGTGATAAATTGACTGGACGGCATGCAGTATATACTCTATAACCCCACAGCACAGAGATTGGCAAGGCACATTATCTCTCGTTTTTATCATTATACCAATTATGACTTTCCAATTGGACAGAAAGTCGATAAATTAGATGGAGAGGCAAGATTATGGGTCTCTTATCCCATTCATGAGCACTTGCTAAATACATAGACAACTGTTTTGTTGCAGTTAATCAATCACAAACAATCTTTGTTTATATAATAATACTATTAATATACTACTAATATGATAATACTACTTGTATCAATAAAAAACTTATTTTTCCAACGAAAAAACGAATCGGTTGCCTTCAGATAAATTGATGAAGACGTTGCATGTATCCTACTAACAAAATGTAATGCACGGTACAACAATTTGTTATCAAAATGTTCCATTTTCAGTCGATCGAAACTTATTGCAATTACACCCTGTACATCTCAGAAGACCAACAGCCTAAGAGGCCGGCATTGTCGGTCTGGTTAACCCCCTGAAAAATTGTCAGAACCCCCCCCCCCCCCCGCACTTTTTTCGGCGTTACAATATGCCCATATCTAAAGACGTTTTGCGTTTATCACCTTAAACATTTGCCTGGAAGACGTTTGAGAAACCTCATTCTAGGCAAAAAACTGGTCAATAAACGCACCCACTGACATGTCATTCTCGTAGGTTGTGGTCTTTCATTCGAACACGAGCAGTATACAACACCCGGATTGAAGCTTAATTGCGTCAGCAAGGAAATTGACAGTAATTTGATCAATAATATCCATAGGTGGTATATAAAATGATTAGATGTTCATGACTGTATCCAATTCAAATGATTATCTGTGTTACGATGACCACCCTACATTTTGATTCGACTTTTTTACCTTTCCTAAAAATCTAAAGGATGAATTGGGCATGGCAAATTAATCAAGTGACTGTAGTTTCCATTTGATTCTTTATCATGCATCGTGCAGCCGATATGACTGTACATAAAATATATTACGCGCTGCATATAACGTCATATAGATTTCATCTGCTCGTTCTACATTCACCCATTTTTTTCTTGTACCAAACAAGAGTCTTTTTTCCCTTCTAAAATGAACAATGTATAAGCCGAGTTATATCCGACCTTGTATTAAAGAACCCTGTTCACGAATAGAAAGTTGGGGGGGGGGGGGGGGGGACATGAAAAACTAATCGATTTCATGAAGATGGCTGCTTTAGCACGTAAATCTCATTCATTACCATGATTATCTATTCTGGTTAATGAGCTTTACATAATTAAGCAACGCTCATTCTTACCATTAGATTGTGGTTTCATTTTATTGTTTCCCGTCCTCTAACGTTCTATGCACGTACTGTAGTCAGGAAGTTACATTGACGTGCTTTGATGAATAATTCAATCAATATGATACTTTTAGTAGCAATAACAAAACAACTATCAATCAAATCGTGGGATGCGAAACAGTATAGGACAGTTTTAAAAAGAGGGAACATTTCAAGTAAGTGACGTAAAAATCGTGTATATAAAGCTGCACAAATTGAGGGGAAAAATTAATTCGCCCGACATGGGCATCTTTCTCCCAAATATTGTAGAGCCATTAATGCACAGAGTTTGGCCAACTGCGTTTCGGTTGGACTCAACATGGCGTATATTCCTCTGTGTCGTATTATTTGATCCAAGAAAGCACCATTTTCCATATCGTAACCAACTGGCACCGCGCTGGCATAACTCTGTATATAAACGGCTCTGAGACACGGCATCAATTAGGAGGTTGCCAATGGCGACGACAGAAGTAATAAACAATAATACATA